AACTACTTTTACGGATTTTTTGTAATGGATACGTCAGATTACAATTTTAAAATACAACAACTTTTGTCGGATGAAAGTACATACCGTAAGGTCAAAAGAGACCCTACAACTAATACGCTTAAAACAACTAGCGATCTAATTAAGAAATACTCCGAGAAATTGAATCTAGACGTCAATTCAATAATACCTTCGTGTGCAAAACCTCCCAAGTTGTATGGGTTACCAAAAATACACAAACCTAATACTCCATTACGTCCAATAGTGAGTCAAATCGATTCGCCAACGTACAGATTGGCTCAACACTTAGCCAAAATATTATCACCACTCAGAGGACACACAAGAGCACATACTAAGGATTCTTACCATTTTGTCAGTGAAATAAAAGACCTACGTCTTGCTGACAATGAAACCATGGTCAGTTTTGATGTTCAGTCTCTATTTACACGCCTACCTGTTGAAGACCACCAGAATATGCAGTGCTACTAAGACATTGCCTTACATCTGGCTATCTATTGTGGAAGGAAGAGTTTTACAAGCAAGTAGATGGTGTTGCGATGGGCTCACCTGTATCTCCCATTGTCGCCGATATATTCATGGAAGACTTTGAGGAGAAAGCCCTCCTTACTGCACCTGTTACCCCAAGGTTCTAAAAGCGGTACGTAGACGATACTTTCACAATTTTACCATCAGACAAAGTAACTGCATTTTTAGAACATCTTAATTCCATAAACCCTAAAATTCAATTTACTATGGAGTAAGAGGCAAATAATTCCTTAGCTTTCCTAGATGTGTTAGTCATCCGAAATCCTAACAACACCATAGGTCATACTCTGTATAGAAAAAAGACTCATACAAACCGATACTTAAATGGTGAATCTCACATCATCCTTCACAGTTAGCTACCGTGGGTAAATCTTTGTTTCAGAGAGCACGAGGGATCTGTGACAGCAAACACCTGGCCGCCGAGCTTCAGCACGTCAAGCAGGTTCTGCACGACAACAAGCTTCGGGTCCCGCGCCTCCGTCACAGTGACCGAGTGAAGCCGGCCACAGTCGAGCGTGTGCCTGCTATACTACCATATGTCAGAGGTGTCACAGACAAGATTGGCTACATCTTGAAGCGAGCTTCTATTAGAACATTCTACAAGCCGCCGAAGAAGATTAGTCAGTTCTTACCATCCGTCAAGTGTCATATTCCTCTACAAGATGCAGGAGTGTACAAGCTTGATTGTGATTGTGGTCTCTCATATATAGAGCAAACAAAGAGATCAATTAGAACCCGCGTAAAAGAACACATAGCTGACGTGAAGCATCAACGTTCCGGGAAGTCTGCAGTTTGCGATCATATTCTAGATGGCCCCAACCATTACATCAGATTTGATAGACCACAAATCCTCGCGAAAGAACATCGATTCCTACCTAGGATGATACGTGAGGCTATTGAAATTAAAAAACATCCTAATTTCAATAGAGAAGGAGGCTGGGTACCACCATCTGCTTGGGATCCTATAATTAATAAAATTAAAACTAAACCCAAGCATACCACTGCAAGACTTCAAAATACAGTTAGTTCATTCTGCGTAGATCGGACCAAAGACAATAATTAAAAAGCTGAAGGTACTCCGGGTTAACTTTGACATCGGGACGTCAGTCACCTCAGTCCCCCGTGACCATGGGTGCTGGAAAGCACCCGAAACGTCGGGTATTAAAATTAATATAAATAAAACGCGATAAAATCCGTGAAAGTAGTTTTAATCAACCGAAATACTTATATGAAAGGCTCAGTTTCTCGGAACGTCTCTCGCGGGAAACTGTTCGATTATTGTACCCAAGACACAGAACGGCTGCGTTTCGTGGTAGCTTTTGGTATGCTGCCACAAAATGTTGGAATAATATACCGCCTCCGATCAAGGGTTAGATACATCACAGCTACTGCAAATTAAGTCAAGTAAAGTTTCCGAGTGATCAGTAAAATGAGTCGCTTGTGTGACGTACTGCCTTAGACCCATACAAAGAAGAAAATCATTGAGCTTTTTAGAATTAGGATCAGAAGGTGCAAGCAAATTAAGGACGCGTTTACAAAATCGATAGGTATAGAATCGCACTACTACATTGACAAAGTCACACACACACTAGTGTACGCACGGTTGGCTGTGGGAATCGTAGTGAAATGAAATTATTTTGATAATTTGAAAGATTGAATTTGTTTTTCATTTCTTATACCTACCTCAGAAATATACTTCGATACGAAATATGAATACCTGCTCCAAAGACTGCTTGGCACTGGAAGCCCTCTACTGGTAGTGAGATGTTAGCTCTGAACTTTGAACTGGTTTTGTCAGTTATAATAAGACCTTACCTACCTGCGGACTTGATGGAGTGACCTGAAGGTGTAATTTGGTGATTACAACAATAGGAACTCCTAGACTAGTGGAACTAGGTGTGCCGAGTTTGGGTTCGTTTTGTTGGTTATGATGAGACCTTACCACCGGACTTGATGGAGTGACCTGAAGGTGTAATTCGGTGATTACAAGTGGAACTCCTAGACTAGTAGAACTAGGTGTGCCGAGTTTGGGTTCGTTTTGTTAGTTATGATGAGACCTTACCACCAGACTTGATGGAGTGACCTGAAGGGGTAATTCAGTAACTACTGCTGGAATTTCTGAACGAGTAGAACTAGGTGTGCCGAATTTGGGCTCCGTTTTGTTAGTTATGACGAGTCCATACCTCCGGACTTGATGGAGTGACCTGAAGGTGTAAATCGGTGATTGCAACTGGAACTCCTAGACTGGTGGAACTAGGTGTGCCGAGTTTGGGTTCGTTTTGTAGGTTATGATGAGACCTTACCACCGGACATGATGGAGTGACCTGAAGGTGTAATTCGGTGATTACAACTGGAATTCCTAGACTAGTAGAACTAGGTGTGCCGAGTTTGGGTTCGTTTTGTTAGTTATGATGAGACCTTACCACCAGACTTGATGGAGTGACCTGAAGGGGTAATTCAGTAACTACTGCTGGAATTTCTGAACGAGTAGAACTAGGTGTGCCGAATTTGGGCTCCGTTTTGTTAGTTATGACGAGTCCATACCTCCGGACTTGATGGAGTGACCTGAAGGTGTAAATCGGTGATTGCAACTGGAACTCCTAGACTGGTGGAACTAGGTGTGCCGAGTTTGGGTTCGTTTTGTAGGTTATGATGAGACCTTACCACCGGACATGATGGAGTGACCTGAAGGTATAGTTCGGTGATTACAAGTGGAACTTCTAGACTTGTAGGACTGGGTGTGCCGAGTTTGGGTTCGTTTTGTTAGTTATGATGAGACCTTACCACCAGACTTGATGGAGTGACCTGAAGGGGTAATTCAGTAACTACTGCTGGAATTTCTGAACCAGTAGAACTAGGTGTGCCGAATTTCACTCCATCAAGTCCGGTGGTAAGGTCTTATCGTAACTAACAAAACGAAACCAAACTCGTCACACCTAGTTCTACTAGTCTAGGAATTCCATTTGTTACCACCTGATTACACCTTCAGGTCACTCAATCAAGTCCGGTGGTAAGGTCTCATCGTAACTAACAAAACGAACCCAAACTCGGCACACCTAGTTCTACAAGTCTAAGAGTTCCACTTGTAATCACTGAACTACACCTTCAGGTCACTCCATCAAGTCCGGAGGTATGGACTCGTCATAACTAACAAAACGAAGCCCAAATTCGGCACACCTAGTTCTACTCGTTCAGAAATTCCAGCAGTAGTTACTGAATTACCCCTTCAGGTCACTCTATCAAGTCCGGTGGTAAGGTCTCATCGTAACTAACAAAACGAACCCAAACTCGGCACACCTAGTTCTACCAGTCTAGGAGTTCCAGTTGCAATCACCGATTTAGACCTTCAGGTCACTCCATCAAGTCCAGAGGTATAGACTCGTCATAACTAACAAAACGGAGCCCAAATTCGTCACCCCTAGTTTTACTCTGCAAGAAGTTCAAATAGCGGTCACGAAAGTACACCTTCAGGTCATGCCATCAAGTCCAGAGGTAAGGTCTCATCATAACCAACAAAACGAGCCCAAACTCGGCACACCTAGTTCCGCTCGTCCACGAGTTGCAGTAGTAGGTAAGTTTATATATCCTACTTATTTTTAGCTAAATAAAAACTGTGAGTATAAAAATAATAATTTTATCACTTGTCAAGTACCTATGTTTCCAATTTGTTTTTTTCTAATATTTTGTGTATGTACAGCGATCTTTTCAGAATGAGCCGCTGCAAACAGGCGATACAGTGTCCACTCACGACGGCGGCCGAGCGCGGACTGTGGTTTCATCGAAATCTTTGTACAATAAATCAAAGCAGGCACCAACAATAAAATAGCCCTTATTGCAATACATTATGATTCATCCATATTACCAAAATATGTGAAAAAATGTGCATCAGTTTTTATTTTTTTTACGACTATTTGTGACATTTTGTTAAAAAATAAAGCCAGGGTTTTTTAATTGAATATGTCTGTCATCTTATAGTATTTTTTAAATTTTTTAAATATGTTGATAATAGACCAAAACATGTACCGAAACACAAGCCGGTATCGTTAATTTTGTAGAAAATGGCAACGAAAGTTCGTTTTTACAATATAAAAAACTACTATTTTCAACAAAAGAGTTACAGACATTTGCAGATGAAGAACCAATCTATACATGGTAGTTTTTACTTATATTTGATTTGGTTTAGTTTTGTCACAAAATCTACCGAAAAACACCCTAATTTTGGTTGATTTGCAAACGCGTCCTTAATATTGAAATCTCCCAACAGTATAATGTAGTCGTAGGCTGAGAATGAGTTGACTGTATCAGAAAGATCATTTATAAAATTATCTACGTGAAACCAAGGAGGACGATACGCGGTACCTATGGCAAGTTTCAGACCATTAGCTTTAACTCCTAACCACATCTGTTCAATAGTGAGCGTACTCGGATGCTCCAGGACGCGAGCGTTGATACCATTTCTAATGTAAAAACCAACACCCCCGCCGCGTGCGCCGTACTCGTGCCGCCTGTATTAGAGTATCACGCTGAGCACGACGCGACAATCGCACGACTAAAAGGCGTGGCCGCGGAACTGAAGAGCCCTCGCCATTATCGCGTATAAAACCTGTACGCTCTGAAGACACCACATCGCGCTCATCCAGGTCCACGCATAATTTCTTGGCAATAGCCAAGATAATATGTGCGGTATTTTCACCACTCGTTTCAGGGAATCCCGCTATCTGGATATCATTAGCGAGTAAGTCTTGGTCACGTTCCAATATCTGTGACTTCAACTGTGATACTGTCTCTTCCAAAGTCGATATTTCACAGCCTTGTAAGCCTTTTGACTTGTCTTCTAAGGCTGATATTGTGGTTTCGATGGAGTCAATGCGGCGCGGCTGCTTTGCATCTTAATGGCAGTCATTAGATGTGTCATAGAATTATGGAACAAGCGCATCTCAGCACGGATTGCCTTCATTTCACTAAGAAGCAGTTTGAAGTCCATAGCTGTATCATCGAGCGATTCTGATATAATATTCTCCATGATGATGCTCTCCTCTTCATGAATGTTCTTGTCCTAAGTATTTTTTGTTTGCCGCGGACTGCCACATTCGAGTTCTCTGGTGAGACAACCAAAGCCGGGGGACTAGAAATTACGGACTCAGCAGTACGCAAAATAATAAAGCTATATTTTTTTTCGCATGGTGTTGGTTCTCATCTCATATAACTAACAATCTGGGACTTATTTCAAAATTAAAATATTCCGAAATCTGATGAATGCGCGCGCCCTCTAATGGGTGATCGTAGACTTAATCTAATTGATCGATTAGCATAAGTTCGTAACTATATTTCGCCAGTCATTAGTAGATGGCGAGATAATTCAAAAATAGTTATTCTCTTTAGGTAATCAATTATCACATAGATGTCGCTGATTTAATCAGATGTACGAGTAACATAAATTTAAACATTTGAAACTACCGTAACCGTCACTTTAATACAAAATTTATGTTTTTTCACTTTTACACAAAAATAAAATGTTGATAGCAATGTGACTTAGTTTTTTAGTACTGTACCTTAGCGCTTCACCTTAAAAACACTGTCTTATTACAATAAATTCAATACAACAATTGATAGTTCACTAATTCACTGGATTACTTTCATCAACTTTGCACTGTTAATATAGCTCCAAACAGCGAGATAACACTCCACACACTAAATTACGTTAGAATTAATACATAGATTATAAAAAAGTAACGTAAAGTTTGTTTATAATATTCTTAAAACAAAAATTATACGGAGCCTATGTTAACTGCTTAAATAGCGCCACCTATCTCTAATTAAGTTACTACTATTAAAATGAAAGAATGAAAAACTTAAAATAAATTTTAGAACTTTTTAACTTAATAAATATGATTATTTAAACATATAAATGTATGTTATTTTATTTATTAGTTAATAACTGATAACTGAAGGCGAAATATACTACTTTTTATGACAGATGGCATTTGATAGCTTCGAAAACGTACAATATAGATCAAAATACTACATAACAGTTAAACTATTAAATATTGTATTCATTTAAAAAAAACAATACGTTATCCCGCTTTTAACTAAAAGAAACATAAATAATAGAAAATTAAGTTCTAAGGAAAGGAAAATATTTCATCATCATCATCATCATTACAGCCCTTCACAAGTCCACTGCTGAACATAGGCCTCCCCCAAGTAATGCCACAAAGCACGGTCCTGAGCCACCTGCATCTATCGACTTCCTGCATATCTTACCAGGTCGTCACTCCATCTAGTGGGAGTGACGACCTGGTGGGGGAAAATATTTAACCCTCCTTTTTTAAGTATCGTAATCGGATAAAAATTATCCTATAAGTTGCCCCGGGTCACTAACTGCCTACAAACAAATTTCATGGAGATCTGTCCAGTAGTTTTTGCATGAATCTTTAACACACAGACAGACAAAAATTCTAAAAACCAGTAATTTGCTTCAGTATCCTATATTTAGTCAAATGGACTTGTTTTTCCAGGAAATATTAGAATTACAGACACGACTTTTCTATAGATATTTTTAAATAGGATAGGGTGACAAACGAGCACACAGTCCACGTGATATTAAGTGGTTGTTGTGGCCCATAGACATCTGCATCTATCCTGAATTACGAATCAAAATACAGATGCGTTGTCACCCGTGAGGACTAAGATGGAATGCCTCGTTTTCAGTAAAAAGGGTCTCCGGTTCTCTACACTCACCATACGAAACACAGCAGCATTAAGCTACTATTTCACGCTGGTATTCTGTGAGAGCGTGGTCCTTCCCCGGTCGAGCCGACCCATTCGTGCTACAACTATACTTCCAATATAACTGCAGCATGGCTCTATCACGTATAAAATGTACCACGTATTATATGTATAGATGGGAAATAAAGGCAAAATTTCAAGTTGTACGTTTTTTTTTTTTTTGAAAGCAAGTTTTTTTTCGTGTATTGATGTTGTAAGAATATCCACCACCCACCACCATCCACAGAAGATGAGCAGCAGCATTTTTGATGATAACAATTCAAAATAAAAAAGCAGTTGCCGACCCGCCTGGCATGCGATCTTATGTGCAGCGGTGGACTTTTATAGACTGTGATGGATGAAAAAAATTGATCAAATTCGACCAGGCATTCATAATATCACTGTATGTTAACATTAATTCATGTTATGTTAATCGAGAATTACCTTAGGAGATTCCTCTATCGTCAACACTTGCTCCGTGCTGTAATCAATGATCTTCTGCAGCACCTCACTTTCTGCGGCCAGGTTCTCTTCGGATGTACGCAGCGATATGCCATTACCTTCCTACGAATAAAAGTTAACTTATAACTAGGATTGGGTAAAAAAACGAAATATCGATATTTTAACTCTCCCATACAGACTTCCATTTAGCACGATCCTGACATACCTTTCTCGCCTCTTCCACATCCATATACCTACGCATACATGCTCGTCCGTTAAGGGTACTCTTAATTTGGCCCATTTTTAGTATATCGCCAATTTGGTCGACAAACTTCCACCTAGGACGTCCCTTTCCGACTCTTCCATTCACTTCTGCAACATATATTTGCTTTGTCAGTCTTTCCGCATTCTCTCTTTCTACATGACCAAACCACCGAAGCATTCCTTTCTTAATCCTGGTCACCGCATCATCTTGCAAACCACACTCTTCTTTTATCACACAGTTTCTCACCCTGTCACTCAGATTCAGCCCTAACATACTCCTTAGCGACCGCATTTCTACTGCATTTATTCTACTCTCGTGCTTCTTCTGCCACACCCAACTTTCACTACCATACGTTAAAGTAGGGACTAATACAGCACTGTGAATTGCCATACGTGCCTTTTTTGACACATTCTGACTTTTCACAATAGATTTTTATATATATATATATATATATATTGTATTTTTAGGATAAGTGGAGATCGCCCACCAGGCAAGGTATACGGCCGGCATGTGATAGTTTGGAGCTATTCTACATATACCGCGGTACTTCGGAACTTTGATAGCACGATTTAGGCTTCGGTGCATTTCGTAAGCTTTAATTGAATTTCTTTTTATAAGGAAATACTATTGAATTTGTTTTATTAACTTCCCAGTAGGAAGTTATTGTAATGGGTGTGATTTTGCAAAAATCTCCACGTTTCAAGGTCTTTAGCGTCTATATGTATGGTTTTTAATAGAATGTCCGTGTGTACACATGTACGTATGTATGTATGTTCGGATTCAATTTTCGCCTCGTGTATCTCGAGAACAGAGCGATATTGACATGGGACCTTCGTTTAACGCATAATTATGAAACTTAGACCTCATTAAATTTTGAGCAAAATCGGTCAAGTCGTTTTTTGTGCCGAATGAAAAATTGTATAAAATATTAAAACATATGATATTTTTTTATTCTTTCCACTGGGAAGTTAGTCGTGTGAACCTTTCGGGTCGCACCTAGACCGCTTTTTGTTTTATATTCTAATTCTAATCTAAAAAGAAGATTAAATTATAATATTATAGCCTACTGTAAGAAAACAAATTTCGATTTTTCAAACTGATCGCAAACTTTTTTATGTGTATAGTTTATATCTCAAGCATGCTAATTCATTAACGATGTTTTCCTTCACCGCCGATCACGTGATACCCTAACGTGGTGATAACAGAAATCGAACTCGGGAAGTACACGAGTAACGTATTAAGAAATGACGCGCGGCACATTACCAAAATTAAGAGACTTTTTTTGTAATATAAGATAGACTGTTAAATACCATGGACATCCGCAACCAAGAATGGCCATGCTTGATGACACTGGATCTCTCTCTCAAATTACGGCAGTGAGCGCTTTAACGTTATAAAAGTAACTGAATATCATATCTTTATAGTACAAATTCTTCTCTCCGTGTCCATGTGACTGAACTCGTAAACGGCTGCACCTAGCGTTGTCAGGCGTCCGGATAAAGCCGGACACAGTCAGGCTTTTGGTTGCTTGTCTGGCCAAAAGACGATGTCTGGCCTGTCCGGCTTTTGTTAGACTTTTTAAATTTGACCATTTCTTTACATTTTTCATTTTACATGCTATTACAATTATTGAAATTAATATTGTAATGAATATTGAATTATTAATAATAAAAAAGACTGATTTATTCAATTGTTATTATTTTAACATTTTTTGTAAGGTTTTACGGTTAATGATAAAAAGCACTATTTTACTTTTTTTTAATTGTCGTTTTACCAAGATTAAAAAATTAAGGCTTTTTTACCAAAATGTCCGGCTAATTTCGCTGGTCTGTCCGGCTTTTCGCTTTTAAGACCTGGCAACCCTAGCTATACCGTTTTTGATGAAATTTTGTTTGTGTGATTAAGTTTATTTGAGAATGGTTTAAATTCACAAGTGGACCCAGTACGTGGCACTGTTGTCGAGATTCAAAAATCACCCGTGCAAAGCCGGGACGGGTCGCTAGTATAGTATAATATTTGACTTCCAAATATAATGGATATTCGTTAACGAATCGCGAATCATTATTATATATAGATATTTGGAAAATAATATGTATTACGCAAAATCAGGAGTGCCACAAGGCTCACATCTGAGACCAATTTTTTTGCGTTTCGTCAATGATCAAAAAATTTACCTAAATAACCTCCTCCTCTAATGCGAAACACGTCACAAGTCATGTATTAAAGAAATCAAAGAAGAAAAATATTAATTCGGCAACGCTATAAAATAACTTAAAGATTCTAAACAATACGTACAAATTTTTCCATCCCTCCAACTTTATTGCTCTCTACATTTTCCACTTCGGACACTAAATTCACTTTACCAGGAAACCTAATTAAAAAAAGAATAAATCTCTAAAAGTGCTACTTAAATGTTTGAAAAACTTTCGATGGTAATATTAATCTCTAGTAAGCATTACCTACCACAGTCTCTAAATACATATGTGCCGATGGAAAAGACATTGTTAAATACAAAAGGACGTTATGGATAACACGAAACTAATTATTTGTATATTTGAGCTAATATTTGCTAAGAACTGTTTCTATCTAGATACCAAAAACACACTGATCTCAACTCTGCCGGTCGTTGTTACTAACACAGCTTTCATCGTGATAAAATTGTTTGCATAATTGCGGCGTTAAATTATACTTTTTTAATATAGAATAAGGGTGACAAACGAACACACAGTGCACCTGATGGTAAGTGGTTGCTGTAGCCCATAGACATCTACATCTATCCTTGATTACGAATCAAAATGCAGATGCGTTGTCACCCTTGAGGATTAAGATGGAATGCTTCCTTTCCAGTAAGAAGGGTCTCCGGTTCTGTACACTCACCATACAAAACATAGCAGCGTTAAGTTGCTATTTTACGCTGGTATTCTGTGAGAGCGTGGTCCTTCCCCGGTTGAGCCGACCCATTCATGCTACAACTATACTACTAATGTAGGGGCAGCATGGCTCTAAAACGTATGAATACTTCTTTCTCTTTATTCTTCTTATGTTTTTAAGGGGACTCCAGTAACTCGAATAGGTAAGAAATTGATCATGGTTTTCTGTGGAGGATAAAGCAGCATCCATACGGTCCACCAAAACAAAATTGTGAATGCTACACTTGGCAGAGGGGCTGATGTCTCGACGTACGTCAAGTCATACAGGACAGGGACATATAGTAAGACGGAGCTTGTGTAAGACGCTTTATTCAACTATCTTCCCCTACACCTAGTATACATTCACGACGATTTTCTGTACGAGTTATTTTATATATTATGTGAACGAGTTATTGAAAGTCTTCTTAACATTCGGGCAACGTAAGAGAATCCACTAGGTACTTCGTAAGAGTCGTAAGAGGGGACAGAGGGGAACGAAGCACGAGATGAGCAGTAACATCTTTCATATCAACTTAGAAAAGTAAAGAAACAACTTCACCATGTGCCAGGAGTGGCTATTCAATTCCACTATTTCAATTATTCCCCCTTATGAGACAGTCTATGGGGAGATCTATGTTCACCAGCGGACTTTCGATAAGTTTTTTTTTTCACAGGAGAGTGACTACCGCCGCCCGTGAACAACTGCAACACCGGGGGTACTGCAGATGCGTTGCCGGCATTTTAAAAAAGAGTAGGCTCTTTTCCCTAAGTCATATAGATCCGTAAAAATCTCTGGTAGTAGTCGATTCCACCAGGAAGTTATGCAAGGAAGAAAACTTCGTTGTAATAATCATTATGAAAAATCATATTAAAAGTATTAGGTTGACAGTTTACTCGCTAAATCATTCTATAGTTATAATGATAGATGGTTGTGATATAATAGATTTAATTCTGACAATTTTACATTGAGCTCTTATGCATCATAGGCGTTTCTAATAATCGACAATCAAAACCCAAGGGATAAAATAAAGTGCTAGGTCTCTTAGTCTCTTACATTGCATCAACAAAATATAAAATTTATTTTCACTGTCTTTAAGATTTTTCTCAAGCTAAACAATATAAAAATCTTACCAGCATTCACGCGGTATTTCCTCTACAATCGGATAATATAAGGACGTGGAACTCGAGCATTTTGGCAAGCTCTCTTTAGATTCGTCTTCTACGATAACAAGGCTCTGCCTACAGTAAGCGTCTCTTGGTGAAGGCTCCGGAGGTTCATCTGGCTGCCACGATTCCGCACGTTTAGGGATAAAACAAGGAGGCCAAGCACTCACGTCTTCACCAGGATCATGCCGATAAAAGTTCCTTTACAAGCAAAAGACTAATTCATATTTTCTTACATGTTACCACTAACTTTTTGGCACATAAACCGTTATGAAATTGAAATGAAGCCAACAATAAAGCCAAAAGTCGTAATGCAGATCCTAAGTCCCCACCCTTAACATCTCACGAGAGTTTGATAGTACTAACCATGAATTTACTGATGTAATTTATTTTGTTCTAACAATTGTAAATCCCTACTGCGTTACCTCTTTGATTCCAGGTTCAAATCTTGGGTCGGGCGAAATCAATAACTGTGTTTTTCTATCAAGAAATTCTCAATAGCATCCCGTCGAGTCAGGAAGTAGGCGACGTTTCAACAAATTAAAGCCGCTGGCCCCGTGGCTGGTCTCTCTCCGGTCGTGTCGGAATATCGGACTATCAGAGTGAGGGAATAGAGAGTGCATCTGTGCTTACGCATACACTCGGGAAATATAATCCCGTCCTGCGCAGGTGGCTAATCTTCAGATTGGCCGCCGGTCTTGAAATTTGGTTTAGAGGATATTAGCTATTGCTAATATCCTACTATTGTACCAGTTCAAAGAATCGTACGTATCACGATTTAGAAAGTAGTTCGTGGGACAGTTTATTCGATAAAATTTGATTCGTGAGGAGATTTATGCAAAGTTAGTCGTTTGACAAGGTGATTTTGCAATCAGACGGCTTTTAATCTAACTGTTTTAACATGGGGAAATGCATGTACATACCCTCTTTGTATACGGTACTGTACTATACTGTTACAGTCTAATAAGTCTCTGCTGAAAACAGGCTTTCTCCGCAGATTACCTCGTCGTCCCTCGGGGATATTTGCCATAGATGCCACGCTTGGCAAGCGGGTTGGTCGCAGTTTTTATTTTTAGTTTAGTCGTTATTAGGAACATGATGCTGCCCATCTCCTGATTTGTTTCTCTCTGTTGCCTCTATTAACACCCACGAGATGATATGAGATAGTGGATATTCTTACACCGCCACTACACGGTCGATTTGCGTTGACTGAAAACCTGTGGTGTTCCACCTTAGCCTCATATTGGCAAGACCACAGGAAAGCTTTCGCACACATTCGCGGCCCCACCGGTTCCGGCGGCCTCATGGTCGCGTTTTATGGTTTGATCTGTTTATTCTGTGTTTGAGAGAAGAGCGTTTATGAAAGTAATTATATATACTTACTTACACACACACACATATATATATATATATATATATATATATATATATATATATGTGTAAGTAAGTATATATAACCTGTATGTATGTATGTATACTATACTATACTTACTACTATCGTTGCAGTTACATTCTTTCACATGTACATAGCTGAACATTGGCCTGCCCCAAGGAATGCCACAAAACACGGTCCTGAGGCACCCACCGACTTTCTGCATGTCTTACCAGCCGTCAAACCATCTAGTTGGAGGCCGCTCTACTTACCGGTACGAGGCTGCCACTCCATCGATTTTTGGTTTCACGAGCTATTGGCCAACTCAATGCCTAACTTCGAAGTTCATCACGCGGAGAAAATTCGAGCACAACCCTCTACATAGCTCAATGAACGACCTTGAGCTTTCTCACGCGGCCAGCAGTAAAGGATCACTTTTTAGGCCCATATATGTGCCAACACTGGCAATATGCACTCGTTGTACACTACTGTTTTAAGGTTTTAGGGAATAGGTGACGAGAAGATGTATCGTAAACACACTAACGCTTCTCAGCTGAGTTAAATCCATCGATTGACCTCTGCGTTGAAGTTGTAAGTAACTAGTCGGTTTGTCCTAAAACTACCAACATAGGTGCATGGACACTACACATGCTCGCTGTCGTATTTATGTTCATCTATGGACCTAACCGTAAGATTAAACTATTGAGGTCATTGAGCATAGCGCTAAGGTCCTTCAGCGATTCTACCATAAGGACTATATCGTTGGCAAATCGAAGGTGAGTGATTTACGGCCGATCCTCATTATAATGCCGTTCACAGTTCGTTCTCGGTCCGATTTCCGTCTGATAAAATATTATCAAGTAAAAAATATGTGTGTACATTCATACTATCCGTAACAGTCAAGTTTCGTTCAAATCCCATTCCAATATATAATAAATCAGACCGAGATCGGATCGAAAACATACTATGAACGGCAAAGGAGGATCGACCCTTACTCGTGAATGCAGCGGTGAAGAGTTTCGGGGATACAAAGTGCCTCTGGTTCTGTACTTAGATAGCCACAATAGCCCTGCTGTATAATAAACACTTCAGCATTTTGATATACCGCCAGTCGAATTGGCACGTTGTCTTTATGAAGTCAATCTCAATTTTATGTAGAAACGTTGGGGTAGGACCGGATTTACTTTTTTTTGGACCGCTTCTTTACGGAAGAAAATGTTCACCAAAAATCCCTTATTATAAGGTCGGCAAACTGTTGACTCCATGGATACTGTTGGCTTATTCCAAATTTCCCTAGCTTCTCCACACCGTTATTATTATATTATAGTATGGGTGAAGACATTTGATATTTGTTACCCAAATTTAGGTAGACCATGTTTTGAATTAATTCTTCTCACCATTTCCCATAAATTGATCAATAGATATATCGTTACGCGAAAGTATACACAATGAGGATGTCCGTAAAAAAAATGGACGATGTTCAGATATATAACAAGACTCAAATCTCCACAAGACATGGGGAAGGCGTCTCTGCTGCAGAAATGATAGAAGATGGAGTACGTACGTTCTCACTTGGAGACTCCGTTTGGAGGAAACTAACAAGTGAAGAATGGAAGTAAATGGAAGGGATATTTTTTATAGCAGAGAGGGCAAACGAGCATACTGTTTACCTGATGATAAGTTACAGTGAATTGTGAATTGCTTTTTAATTTGGTTTTCCCGAGAAATATTGGTTCGGCCGATGCATAGAGTATCATCACCAGTGCTGTCATCCGCATAGCAATGAATGTTACCGGTTTACTACCGGGTATGCAGAAGATGAGCCGTGGTAACTCAGATGGTTAGCGCTCGCTGTAAATTTCACAATACGCGAGCAAACCGGGTTCGATCCCCGCCGGCACCAATGAAATTGTTAATTGCAATTTTAAGTACTGATTTACCACGTGCTTGACGGTGAAGGAAAACATCGTGAGGAAACCTGCATGTCTGAGAAATAAGAAAAAAATATTTCGAAGACATGTGAAGTTCGCCAACACGCACTGAGGCGCGCGGCGGACATTTCCTTGCCCTAAAACCCTCTCAGAAATGAGAGGAGGCCTGTACCTAGCAGTGGGACGTATATAGGCTGTAACTTTATGTTACTTTACTTTATGCAGAAGAAACAGCGTTTGTGATATCATGCAGCCTTGTGGAACGCCAGCATTAATAAACAAAATAATAAATATCGGAGCATGCACCGTCTACAATGACCTTGATGCTCCGATCTACAAGCTGGTAATCCAATTGCACAATTTTTCGGAAGACCCATAGGAAAGGAGCTTCGAAAGAAGCGTTTTGTTCCAAACCCGATCGAAGGCCTTTGCAATGTCCAAACTAACGGCCAATGGGAGGCATTGACCGTTATTGATCGTTATTGGCCTCGGACTCTACTACCTCATCCCATATATGAGTCAGGTAGACCAAAAAATCACCCGTTAATCGACTCCGACGAAAACCGTATTGGCGATCGCTAATCAGCTGGTGATCCTCAAAATACCTCATGAGCTGATAGTTTATAATGGATTCCATTATTTTGGAGAGCAAGGAGGTGATGGCCACAGGCCTGTAGTTAGACGGACCTGAGCGGTAGCCTCTTTTAGGGATCGGGTGGATGAAAGCCGTCTTCCATGATTTCGGGACTACGCCTAGGGAGTAGGAGCACCGGAAAAAACGCGTTAGAACCGCTGCCAACTCTGGAGCACATGCCCTCAGCACAATTGCGGGGATTCCGTCAAGCCCACTTGACTTGTGGATGTCCAGGGCGAAGAGTGCTTTGCGAATCGAGCGCTGTGTGAACCGCACTTCCAGCATGGAGCACTCACACCGCGGGATGGTCGGCGATGTGCTCCCTCCTGTCAACCAGAGTATTATCAAGTTTTACAGTGGTCGATATCATGAGAAGAGTAAATGAACTTGAAAGCGCTTTCGTTTCCATGTGGATATAGTCTTGTAACGAAAAACAGCTTTCGTAGCTGCTTCTCGTTAAGATTTTTCGAAAGACGAATAAATCGACGTTAGTAATTTTTTTAAATGTGTGATTTTCTTGAAGAGCCCTTAAAGTCCACTGCAAAACATAGGCCTCTTAATGTGCATAATCGTTTACCCAGAATTCGACATTATAATCCAATTTTGACAGTTGGATTGGCGATCGAAGTAATAGATAATTTCACACCATTCTTATTACTCCCTGCTTTAGGTGAGGATATAGTACATGTGATATAATAAGATATGGCTAATCCATCTAAGGGGTGTATACAAACTTTAACATACCAGTCAATGAGTTTCAGCCAAGCTTTCACAGCACAATGCACTGTAAATGTAATAGTCTGTATCTCCATGTAATGCGAATGTCCAATTCTTAAAGCATTTTCAATAATTTCTTCACGGATATCAAAAATGAATAAATCATTTTCTTCTTTTTGTAAGATTTCAACCCTAAATATAAACGATAGTCAAACACCAAAATTACTAAAATAATTAGTGTACTAAGGAAAATCCGTTTCAATTTACCAAGTTCTATCAGGTATATCCTTCGGTAACGCCATTATAATCTTAGATTCATCAAAATTGCTTAGTTTTCTACCTCTCCTTGATAATTTATACTTATTATTATAAAAAGCAATCCTACTTATAGCACCAAACATTTTTATTTGTTCAAAGATCAAATACGAACGTCCTTTAATTTGTTTTACCTTTATTTCATTAAAAAGTGCTACAAATTAAATAATTCAAGACTTGTTATTTTGATTAAATTTTTTATAAACTTTTAATTATCTATGTTTATGACTTTAGTATTTTATTAAATTTTTATCTATTTCATAAAATATAAAATATTTGAATGCTTTGTTAACCAAAGAGTTTATAATAACTACGTTGTAGCACAGGCATTAAATAACTATAATATTATAGAGTTGCATAGAGCAACACGTGCCACCGGCGCGGCGCGGTGGATCGGAGAGGAGTAGTCTTTCATTTTTGCGAGGGAAATCTGCGCACACAAAAAAATCTTATGTCGCCACGGAACTTTCATATATTAATCAAAACAATAAACTGACAGTTTCACGCACGTACGCATACAGTCACGCAAGCACACACACATCGCAATCGTAATACAAATCGAGATCTTCCACGTCAAATTTACAAAAATATGGCGTAACCTTTCATATATAAGCTTAGAACATTTAACCCAATAGACCCGCCTCGCATTGTTATTCCCCTCTGCCAAGGTATTGGATTTAAAGATCTTGTCCGTTTATAAAAACTGTTTACGGAATCTATTTTATCATTACAAGAATCGTATCTGCCGAAGTAGGTGCTCTTTGAAAAATGCCGAACTGTGCGGTTAACGTGTGCATAAAGGAGTCAAATACCTAAAATTTACAAAAAGTTACATTCCATATGTAAGTATTTTTATTGTGATACATGCTTTTTTTTCTATTTAAAATCATTTAAAATAATATCCTAAATAATAATCGAAAACTTTACCGATGAGGTAATGGAGTACGTAATATGTCATAAAAATCGTAGTGATAATCACAATGTAACAACCGCACTCCCCACAAGCCTATTTAATTTTTTTTAACAATTTTCGTCTGCTGCAAATAAGGTTTAAATTTGAACACGCCAGTACAAACGCACTCCTTATGAGATTAGTTTATTTTTGTATAGCAATCTCAACCAACATTGCATAAAACTACGGTTGAAATTCGAATAATATGACAGTCATTATTAACAATATGACATTGCATTACATCATAAGCAGGAGTGTTACCAGACCTGGGCTCGCGCATAGACGTCTCGGAATGTAAGTACCAGCGTTCTTAAATAGAAGTATAATTCTGCTTCCAGGTACGTCAAAAGTGTGGTTTTTTCACTGTTGTCTCTCGCCAAGGCTGCCCAGCACAGGAAGGATAACTCATTTAATTATATTAAATTTGCGATTGCAAAGTCAATCTATATATTATTTAAAACATAAAAGATTTTTAACATTGACAAGGTCGCTATAAAATGTTGTTTGTTAGGTTAGCTAATTACGTATTAACTTAAAACAGAAGGACCCTTAAGTAGGGACTGAATAAATTAACCGACTTGGTATTACATGGACCTCACAAATTTTTACGGTAGGAGAAATGAGTTGCGAGACTTAGTTTTTTTTTTTTACAAGTTATGTTTTTTTTAGAAGAGGGGGCAAACGAGCATGCGGCTCACCAGGAGAATTGCAGGTGCGTTGCCGGCCCTTTAAAAAGGAGTAAGCTCTTTTCTTGAAGGTCCCCATGTCGTATCGGTCCGGAAAAATCGCCGTTGGTAAACTATTCCACAGAAAGGTCGTACGCGGAAGAAAACTCCTTTTGAAACGTACAGTGGTGGACCGCCAAGCATCCAGATGGTGCGGATGGTATCGGGACGTTTGCCGCGTAGTGCGTTCACGGAATTTGGCGGCTGGGATTAATCTGAACAATTCCTCAGAGCACTCCCCATGATATATGCGAAAGAAAATGCAAAGAGATGCAACATCTCTTCGCAGCGCCAGTAAATCGAGCCGATCGGAAGGCACTCGGTCGATGACGATTCGAGCCGCTCTGCGCTGGATGCGGTCAAGTGGAAGGAGCTGGTACTGGGGAGCCCCAGCCCAGAGATGGGAACAGTATCCCATGTGCGGCCGAACCTGCGCCTTGTAAAGTTGCAGGCGGTGTGCCGGCATGAAATACTGTCCCGCTCTGCTGAGCACGCCAAGCTTTTTGGAGGCCAATTTGGCCTTCTCTTCCAAGTGACCACGAAACTGCACGTCACTCGATATGTCGACGCCGAGGATTCCGATACTGGCTGAGGCAACAAGGGGAGTGCCTTGAAACTGAGGAGATACGACAAACGGGTTCTTTTTAGCGGTTAACGCGCAAACTTGTGTCTTCTGGGGGTTAAACTGGACTAGATTTAGTCGCCCCCAATCCGAGACTCTGTTCAGCAGAGATTCGACTTCAGAAACAAGTTTTTCCCGGTAGTCGGAGACGTTATCCCGAGAAATATTGGCACGGCCGGTGTACAGAGCATCACCAGTGCTGTCATCTGCATAGCAATGAATGTTACGGGTTTGCAACATATCATTGATATGCAGAAGAAACAGCGTTGGCGATAGCACGCAGCCTTGTAGAACACCAGCATTAATAGGCTTGTAATCGGAGCTTGCACCGTCTACAACGACCTTGTTGCTCCGATCTGCAAGAAAGCTGGTGATCCAATCGCACAATTTCTCGGGAAGCCCATAGGAAGGGAGCTTCGAAAGAAGCTCTTTGTGCCAAACCCGATCGAAGGCCTTCGCAATGTCTAAAATAACGGCCAATGCCTGCCCCTTGGACTCTACTGCCTCCGCCCATCTGTGAGTTAGGTAGACCAGAAGACCAGCTGACCGACCACGGCGAAAACCGTATTGGCGATCACTAATCAGCTGGTGATCCTCAAGGTACCTCATGAGCTGGCAGTTAACAATAGACTCCATTGTTTTGGAGAACAAGGAGGTGATGGCGATAGGCCGGTAGTTGGACGGGTCTGAGCGGTCGCCTTTTTTAGGGATCGGGTGGACGAAATCCGTATTCCATGATTTCGGAACTACGCCTAGGGAGTAGGAGTACCGGAAAAGACGCATTAAAACCGGTGCCGACTCTGGAGCACACGTCCTCAGCACAATTGTGGGGATTCCGTCAGGCCCACTCGATTTGTGGATGTCCAGGGAGAGGAGTGCTTTGCGAACCGAGTGCTGTGTGAACTTCACTTCCGGAATGGAGCACTCACACCGCAGGGTGGTCGGCGGCGTACTCCCCCCGTCATCGAGAGTCGAGTTGGACGCAAAGAAAGAGCCTAGTAGATCGGCTTTCTCCTTTGCGGTATGGGCCAGTGAGTCGTCCTTCCTGTGCAGAGATGGAAGAGATGGCTGGCAGAAATTCCCCTGGACAGCCTTGGTGAGAGACCAGAATGCACAGGTTCCAGAAGGAAGGCGAACTAGTTTCTCGCCAATTCTACCTATGTGCTCTTGCCTTGGCAATGACTCTTTTGAAAGACCTAGAGGCGGAATTATACTTTTTTTGGTTTTTTCGCAGTGTGTGCCGGCTTGGTAGCACTCCTGTTATAGCATGATGCTATTTTACTGGGGGTTGCTAACACGGCGTTAGCCTGTAGAATGCAACTGCGATTTCAGCGTGAGTGGCACCACACTCCGGCCAAGACAATAGTCCGAGGAGCCTAAAGGGGCGTCGACGGAAATCTGATATCCATCCGGGTGAGAGGTCAGCAGAAGGTCCAACAGGGAAGGTGCATGATCCTCCACATCTGGAATCCGCGTAGGCGAAGTAACCAGTTGTGTCAGACCATATGCCAAGGCAAAATCATGAACAGATCTCCACACATGATCGGTTAAACGTGAACCAAGCCATTCGGCGTGAAGGGCGTTAAAGTCGCCGAGGATCACGATCTCTGCGGAGGGGATCTGCTGTAGCAACGAATCAGTAGCCATTTGGATGTGGTCGAAGAGTCGGTCTGTTTCGGCATTACCGCTATGGGACCTATAGAGGCACCCGGAGAGGCGCGGATGGTCGTTGCTGTCTACGCGTAGGCAAAGGATGGACAAGTCCGAACCTTCAAGACTGTCGAGGCGTCGAGAACAGATGTCTTCTCTGACGTAAACGCAAACTCCAGCCCGAGGCACAAAGGAGTGTTCCAGTTTGTACCCTGGGTAAGAGAGATACGAAACATCAGCCGGAGAGGACACCTGCGTCTCGGTCAGTAAGAGCAGAGCCGTCAGAGATGGTTATTGAAAATTCAGGCTTCTAGTTTTATCCACTACGAAGTTAAAGGGGTTCGAAAATGGCCTGAATTGCTTCTAGAAAAGTATGGTACGGTCGTGCTGATTATTTGCTCGATTTCTCGGGGGCACTGCCGTGCCCCCAGATCTATTTCTTTCCATCTTGAGTATTTATCGTAATATCTCATTTTCCCGGCAAAAACATGTCAGGGTCAAGACGGGTTCGCCAACATTCGGGAGGGCATTTTAGTAATTGTTGTTTATAACGTAGATAACATTTATCAACAAAATAACAATAATTAATATTAGATAGAATAGGCGTTACTTTGCGGAAATCCATTATATTTTTCTTTTGCTAAACATATAAAATTTACACTCTTTTTGTGGAAAGTTGAAATTTATTTTTTTTTTTTATTTGTTATTTTGTTTTGTTGATAATTGTTTTTTATTAAGAGTGGTTAATGCTAGTAATATATAAGTCAATGGATTAATGATGGAGCCACAACCCACAACCAAGTACGTCGAGAGACGTACAACAGATCAGATAAATCAACAGATTTTACTTCATCGAAAAAAAACGTCCAAAGGTTTTAATTAAAACTTCTTAGTTCGGAGTGTAATTTAAAGTTATCTTAAAGTTGATTAAAACTACTTTTATGAATTTTATCGCTTTTATTTATGTTATTTCTAATACCCGACGTTTCGGGTGCTTTCCAGCACCCATGGTCACGGGGTACTGAGGTGACTGACGTCCCGATGTCAAAGTTAACCCGGAGGAGTACCTTCAGCTTTTTAATTATTGTTTTTGGTCCGATCTACGCAGAATGAACTAACTGTGTTTTGAAGTCTTGC